GATTTGAAATTATATTCAAGTTAATCTTCCGTACTTTTTAATTCTGTTAACCTATCCTAACCGACCACATTCAGAACATTAATTAAAATTATAATAATTATTGATTAGCATGTATTACTCTTTAATATTTGAGAGAAATTTTATTATTTAACATAATAACGTATGACAATTTATCGGGACCAGTCATATCGGATTCGGCAAATTAGCTGTTATGCGCCGAAGGAGACGGCTTTTAACTTAATTTCCATAATTGATTCAGAAGCTGGTCCAGTCGGGGCCTTAAGCGGACGCCAATTTTCCAAATTGCTCCAATACCAATCTGTCTTAAATCACTTTAGAGGTCTCGCGGTATGATTACGCTCGAGCTTTTCAACAGCTATAATTAAATTGCCGCTTGTTATTAGAAAACAGAAATCTATATAATCGCCATGATCGTGATTACATGTGTATTGGCACTTAGTATACTGATAATTTTCCGTTTTTTTTTAATCATTTATACTGTTTGAATTCTTTTAGAGATGGAATTATATAAGTTGGTATTATCTTAATAAGGCGCTAGTTATCAGTTTAGGGACGGCTAGTGAATTATGAAAAAAAAATTGTGTGCACTATGTACGCATATTTGAAAAGTTGAAAACTTCTTACTAACAGCTATTAAATTGAAGGATTTGAAGGATATATATTTTTTACAAATGCTTTTTATAATCTTCAAAAAAATAGAGTAAATATAAAACAGTATACTATTCTAGCTTTATAATGTTTATTCTATTTTTATTCTTCTTCTTAAAGTGCCTATCTTCTTTGGATGTTGGCTATCACATTGATCCATATTACTTTGTTCACTGCCGTTCTGAACAAAGCTGTTGACGTCAATCCGGTCCATGTTCGTAGATTTCGCAGCCACGATATTCGTCTGCGTTCCGCTGATCTTCTGCCTTCTATTTTCCCCTGCAGTATGAGTTGGAGTAGGCGGTATTTCTCGTTCCGCATGATGTGTCCGAAGTATTCCAGTTTTCTTCGTTTGACATTTACCAGAAACTCCAACTTCTTGTTGATGCGATGTAGTACAGTCTAATTTGACACGCGATGCACCCACGTAATCCTAAAAATACGCCGATAGCACCACATCTCAAATGCCTCCACCCGCTTGCATGATGCGTCGGTGAGGGTCCACGCCTCTGCTCCATACAGAAGGGTTGAGAGCACGTAGCATATCAGGATTCTGATTCTAGCGTGGACGTTGAGGGACAGGTTGCATCGTATTTTTCGCATTTTGTTAAATGTCCCTCTCGCGATTTCGATTCGGTGTTTTATTTCGCGAGAGTGGTCCCAGTCTTTAGTCAGGGTGCAGCCCAGGTATGCAACTGTCTCGGCCGCTGGGAAAACGATGTTGTTAACAGTGAACTGAAAGTTGTTGATATAGTTCTTGCTAATGATTAACGTTTGAGTCTTCTTGCAGTTCATCTTCATTCCGTATCTGCTGCATGTATTCACCACACGATCTATAAGCCTTTGGAGACCTTCAGCGGTATCGGCCAACAGAACGGTATCATCTGCATATCTCAAATTGTTTACTATTTCTCCGTTTATTACCAGCCCATCCACTGTGTCGTCCAGTGCCTCTCTAAATAGATTTTCCGAGTACACATTGAATAGCAGAAGCGACAATATACAGCCCTGTCGCACTCCCCTCCTTACACTAAACTCTGCATTCACCAACAACAGAATCATATCAATTCTCTCTGATGTAAGATAAGTTTGCAATTTCAGCAAATTTCTGAGAATTTTTTTTTGTTTTAACTGACACAAAATGATAACTAGTTATTAAAGTTGGACTAATTTGACAGGTATATTGAAGTAACGTCAGATATATCACAGCCACCTAGATTTTATCAAATAATAAAGATCTACTCAGATCAAATCATGTAAATGAAAATATCTAGCAAAATCTTTGTTTGAACCTTAATAGTATTTTGAAGAGACATGAATTCTCCATTGAATATCGGAATAATATACTGGGTGTTCCATTTAAAATAAGAGAGTAACATGCTTTTAAATGTGACCAATGTTCAATATTAATTTTGTCTCACCCTGTATAACTTGTTGGATCAAGTTTTAATTTGATTTGAAGTACTATAGTTAATTTAACTACATATTAGGCTATACCGGGTAAATTCAAATTTAGGTAGCTTTTATTGTAATTTAAAAATTGTTCTTTATTTCTAGAAAATATTACATATGTCAAAAACCTCTCATTTTAGTCATATACTGCTCTTATAAAACTCACCTTTATTTTTCGCCCAGAATCCGAAAATTAATTAATATATAGGGTGTTCCATTAGAAAAAACACAACTTTGATATGTAACTTTTTTTGGGGACACCCTGTAGAACTCTCTATATTTTTAAAATGTGCTCTGAATTAACCTACATATGCTCACAAAATCTCATTTCAATACAAACTGTCGTTCTCCTTGGAGCCTCCGCGGCGTATGAGACGCGCCACCCTGTATTCCGTAGCACAAAATTGAGTCTTTGATTCATATATATATACAGTGTGTCAATTTTAAAACTTCCCACCCTTAATGTCTTTCTTGCAGTTAAAAATATGAAAAATTGTAAAGACACATCAATTGTAATTGCAAAGGGGACACTTTAAATGAATATTTTTAGCCTTTTTCTTTCAACCCTCTAGGAGGGGTAGATGTCACCTTTACAATCTTAAATAGGAATGGGGGTCAAGTGGCACATCGTTTTAAAGGGCGTTTAATTTTCTTTTCAGCGGTATCCTACTTTATTGCGTTTTATCCAGAGGTTTCCGAATAATCGCGTGTCAAAGTTGCAGAAACAATTAAACGTTCCAGATTTTGGTTTTCACGTTAGTGTTTACACACAAGTTATTGCAATGGATCTCCTTGTAGTACAAATGATTAGAAGATTAGGTTACACCACTTACGCCCTATCTTATAAGTTGTTCAAAATGTTGTCCATTTCCCCGTAAACAGTAATAAAGTCTGTTTTCAAACACCTCTCTAACATTTCAAATATCAGTAGATTGTGTTTTATAAATAATGGATTTAAGATGTCCCCCCCCCCCAAATAAAATCTAAGTGATCTTGAAAGACATTCCCCTTCTGCCAATCTATGTACCTGCAAATCTTTCTTTTAACCACTGTCGCACCGGAAAAAAATAATGAGCTGGAGCACCGTCCTGCTGGAATGTTAACGATTATTCCTGTGAAACTGATTAGAGGTTGCCACTAATTCGAATTTGAGAAAGGAAACGTTAATGTTTATAATATTTTCTCTTTATTACTATTTCGAATTTCGACCCACTAGAAAAATGTAATGGCTACGTCCATGTTGCCACCTAATCTTCTACCCCTTTTTTACCCCTCCTAAGGGGTTGAAAGAAAAAGGCCAAAAATATTCATTTAAAGTGTCTCCCTTACTAATAAAATTGACGTGTCTTTCCGATTTTTCATATTTTTAACTGCAAGAAAGATATTAAAGGTGGGAAGTTTTAAAATTGACACACTGTATATATATATATATATATATATATATATATATATATATATATAATATATATATATATATATATATATATATATATATATATATATATACAAAAGAGGAAGTCTTGACCGATCAATTATAACTAAAACTAAGAAGAAAATTCTTGGGGATAGCGGTCTATTAGAGGCAAAAAATTAAACAATTTTTTAAACATACGCACGAGCTTTCGGAAAATATATTTCCTTTTTCAAATTAAAACATATCACAAAGTCAACTGAATATAATATAATATTATATAAACTTACGTGTAAAAAGTTTAATTATAAAAATAGAAAAATATATCAATTTCCATATGGAAGAAAGACTAAAAATTTTGTATAAAAGTTAAAATCTTCTTAAATATTCATGATTTCTGACATTACTAAAATTATTTTGACATAGAAAGGTAAATTTAATTATTAATAAAACACGTAAAAAACATATAAGGTTAATCACAAGTTACAAATAAAAATAAAAAGAAAAATCAAATTTTAAATATTATTTTATTTTTAATAAAATAGAGTAAGAAAAGAATATATTATTACCAAGATCCTCAATATCTTTTCTTTTATTAATACAATTATCATTAATGTAAATTTCTACCATTTCAAGAAAAAATATATAATATTATATAATATTTTATATAATATTATATATTTTTATTATTTTTTTTTTTTTTATATTATATAATATTTTTTTTTCTTGAAATGGTAGAAATTTACATTAATTTAATGATAATTGTATTAATAAAAGAAAAGATATTGAGGATCTTAGTAATATATATTCTTTCTTACTCCATTTTATTAAAAATAAAAATAATATTTAAAATTTGATTTTTTCTTTATTTTTATTTGTAACTTGTGATTAACCTTATATGTTTTTTACGTGTTTTTTTATTAATAATTAAATTTACCTTTCTATGTCAAAATAATTTTTAGTAATGTCAGAAATCATGAATATTTAAGAAGATTTTAACTTTTATACAAAATTTTAGTTCCTTTCTTCCATATAGAAATTGATATATTTTTCTATTTTTATAATTAAACTTTTTACACGTAAGTTTATATAATATTATATTATATTCAGTTGACTTTTGTGATGTTTTAGCCTTGAAAAAGGAAATATATTTTCGAAAGCTCGGCGTTTGTAAAAATTGTTTAATTTTTTGCCTCTAGCCCGCTATCCCCAAGAATTTTCTTCTTAGTTTTGGTTATATATATATATATATATATATATATATATATATATATATATATATATATATATATATATATATATATATATATATATATATATATATATATATACATATATATATATTTAAACAAATCAGTCTCAAGAACAGTGTTTTTAGAAAAAACTCCTCTTTAATAAACGATTGTTTTTAGAAATATTAACAAACGTTTTATGTATGAAAATATTAACACAATGATTTTTTTTTCAGATCCAAATATCGAATTGGCACGTACTTTGAAATCAGACATCATCATTGTTACACAAAAATAAAAGGTAATTTTTCTATTATTATTATATTAAACACACACACGTAAACGATATTATGAGTTAAAATCAAATTTCACGTTGTTGTTTTATATTTAACTTGAATGTTATTAGATGTTTCTAAAAATAGTTGCAATTTTCTACAATGCAAACCAAAAAATATTAAAACAAAACAGCATTTTTCACAATTAGGATGTCCAAGCTTTCAATGATTTTAACATTAAAATTATAGTTGCTAAAATGAATAAAAAATTAAATTATCAGGCAAAAAAAGGTCTTTTTAAAATAAGTATATCGTCGGTTTCTAACAAAAACAAACTGAGTCTAAAAAGCAGAAGTCCGAAGAAGAACTCAAAAATGAAACTTAATAATTTTAGAAGATTTGATCGATATTTTCATAATATAGCTTTATATTCTAGCAGAAATCTAGTCAAATGATATAAATAAGTCAAAAATGAAATAACTAGACTTAGTGTGGTTTCCTTTTATTTATATTATCTAACATAAAATAAATTGAAAAAGAACATAAAATTAAGTGTATTTATTTTTCAGTAGCCAAAACATTTAACAAAAAAAAACGAAAATAAAAAAGAAATATATAATTTCCATTTAAAAAAGTCCTAAATTATAATTTATAGACTTAATTTAGAGGCAACCTATAATTTTATAGCAGGCTTATATCGAGAGATTTATATTTTCAGTTCTTTTTTACGATCGGCTACGTTCATCATCTCTCAAGAAACTCTTATAAAGGATTAAGTGTTCACACAATAAAATCGTTTAAAATAGAAAACATTTTATTACTCGGACTTAGCGCTTTCGTGTATTACTTAGCTCTCGTATCAGGAATTAACTGTTACTTTAAAAAATATGGTGTTTCAGAGAGCGACATTGTAAGGAATCGGCCGAAAAGTGTGCGTGGGTTCGTTTTTATAACGCTAGGATTGGTACCATCAAGATATATAAACCACAATAACACAACGAATTCCGAAAATATTGTTAAGTTGATGCGAACTATTAAACTGAAATCGTAAAGTATAAAATATAGGTGACCCTACACGTTAAAGCTAAATGTATAAACTTGTTACAGTTATATGAATGTATATGTATATGACATATATTGATTATTTCGTTTTTAAATATTTTAGCCGACCATACCAACAGGTATGGTAGGCTATTAAGATCGGAAAAAAAAGTTTTTTTAATGTCATTCAAAATGAGTTATTTGGGTCATAAATTACCTAAATACAAAATATTTTCATGGTGTCTGTCTGTCTGTCCGCCTGTCCGTCTGTAACACGATAACTCAAAAACCGCTAAACCGATTTTAACCAAATTTGGTACAAAAATACTGTTTTACCCGAGAATCTGGCCATTAGTTTTTGGTGGGTGTAGGGGGTTGGTAAGGGGGTATGGGAGGGGGTTAAAGATTTTAAAAAATCGTAACTCCAAAATTACAGTAGCTAGCGAAACGCGGTTTTCAATTTAAGATTAGGAATAATATTTGCAACAAAATTTGTAATAATATCAAAATCAGTCAAAGTCGCAGTTTTTGAGATATTCCGTGTTTCCGTAGTCCGTTTTTGAGAAAATCCGTGTGGAGAACTCCAAACTCCAATCAGACGCGACCCCAGGTGGCGGATAGGGGACGGAATTTACTATAATTACAATCTGATCTAATATAGATAAATAAGCATTTTTTTCCAATCTAAATTACTAATACTTAAATAACTTATACTAAGGACTTACTCACTAGGGTTTCTTATTTTTTACTATTTACTTAATTACACTAATATTATCGCGTACACAAGCACTATTTGCCTTTTCACTAACACATATTAACTAGTTCTAAGGGTTTAATCTGTTTAAGCTTTTTGATGTGGGTTCTGTTGTCGAGTAGCTGGATGGCCTCAACGACGTGGTGGTGAAGTCGTTCTTCGTACCTCTTGGCGAATGAGGTAAAGTTTGGGTAACTGTATCCACTTCCGAGTCCCTGTGGAGGTCACTGTTTCAGAAATACCATGGGGCGTTGACAATACTCCTTAGTACTTTGTTTTGGAATCGCTGAATAATTTCTTGGCTGCTTTTACTAGCACAACCCCACAATTGTATACCATAGGTCCATACAGGTTTGAGAACCTGTTGATAAAGTACTAATTTTATTATGTATTGATAACGTTGAATTTAGCCCAAGAAGCCCTAGTTTTTTATTTTTAGTTTTTCTTTTTGATGTGGCTTTTCCAACGCAGCTTTGCATCCAATGTCATTGATTTTGGATGAGATCTTGAGAACTTGAGAACATTGAACTTGGGTAAGATATTGAGAACCATTATTCGTAGAGATTTTTACCAAAAGACTCTTTTTACATTAAAAAAACGGTGGACATGTATATTTCTTAACACAGTAGTGTAATACAAATACGGATGAAAACTAATTACTCTTCAAAACAATTAAAATATAAGTAGATGGCGCTCCGTCAAATTAGGAGTCACCGATATTGACGCCGAAATGAAAATTATTATGTCAAAAAACCCAGACCGTTAATGGAAGAAATAAGAAGCAACCTTATGGGCGATTTCGTGGCACAAAACCTGTCCGAGATTTAGTTTAGATCTTCGCCGCTGCGCGCTGATCGTTTACAGCGCAGCGAATAAAGAATACTGTACCGTAGTTCTACTTTCAGTCGACAGATTGGGTGGTTGCCGGAGACAGTGTTGCCAGAATTACGGATTAAACGTAAATTTACGGATTTTGGGTACAGCAAGTTAATAGTACGGATTTTTTATTATTAAACAATTTAATATAATATTATATGATTAAACAAGAAACGGCGTCAGAGTTGGCTTGGAAATTAAGATCGCTGTTATTTCATATGTAAAATATTATGGTAAATATCGATAGTTCGCCAGTTTCAAGCCAACTAAACGACTTATTTCGATCATACGAAATATTCAACAACTATAAAAGAATTTTTATTTTGTTTGTTGTTTATTCTATTGTTTAACACGAATGCATTTTCTATACATATACATTTTAATATGGCAACACTGTCGCTTTCAGAGAAAATATGCCAATATGAAACACTATAAATAGCCTTTAATAAAAAAATATAAAAGCTCTTTTAAAGCCTCATGCATTGAATACCAATTCGTACAAAATCGCAGTGTATGTTAACCTTTACTCGTTCGATTGAGATCGTAAAAAAGCTGATGTCACTGTGCACTGATGTCACCCCAATTTATGGCACTAAAACCATCTGTATAACAACATGTTCTGAATTTTTCAAAAGGAATTTACCAGAAGATAACAAGACCGGGATTTTTCGAGAGAAATCAAAACCACGCGATATCGATCAGCTTCATATTTTGGAGTGATGATCTAGGTCGAAGATTATAGTAAAGAAACCACTTATTAAAGGTACCATTTAATTATAGGGGTTGAAGATGCTTCCCTAATAATTATGACAGTAAAAGACAGACATCAGGAATTTATAAAATTTCGAAATCAAAGACGAGATTTTGTAGTTTCAGTGAAATCTATATATAGTTCAAGCTCTAAATATTTTACCTAAATGTAATAATTGAAAATATCAATTTCGCAGGTATTTATACCTAATTATGTTTTATCAAAACTTTCCGACAATGAAGTTTATTTTCGATTTTTTTTCACTTTTGTGCTAATTTAAATTACACATAAGCATATAAGCGCGCTGTGCAATATACACACAGAGTAGTATCAGTTAACAATTGGAATGAAATCATCACAAAATATTTTCTATAAATAGTCTTCTTTATAATATATAATAAAACTAGCGTGTACCCGCGACTTCGTTCGCGTCGAATTAGTCATTTGTAATGATGATGATAAAGCAAAGCAAGAATTTCCATTAACTTACAAACTGGATAAAATTTTCTCATATTTATGTCAGCATGAGAAAAACAATCGAGAAACGCCTCTTTATCGAACCACTACACCCCACAGTCGATCCGTTTGCCAAAAATCACCTTTAAACGTCAAGCAGTTTAAGCAGAATCGTGATTACTCAATGGTCATATTTTATGAAACACCCTGTATAAATTTTTAAAAAATCTTAAAATATGTAAAACAATAAAATAAAATATACGTGTTTAAGAGTTTTTCCGAAAAAACTCACCGGTTTTTAAATAAAAGATATTCTAATATTTGAGGGGTGGTTTCACCCCCTTAGAATTCGAGTTTCGAAAAATCCCTTCTATTCGAACCTCTACACCCTAAAGTCAATTCGTTTTCCAAAAATCAGCTTTTTACGTCAAGAGCTTTAAGCAGGATCGTGATTAATCAATGGCCAGATTTTTCGAAACACCTTGTATACATTTTTAAAAAATCTTAAAATATTTTTTTTAAAATATTTTTTTTAAAAAAGCGTTTTTTTCGGAAACTTGACCGTTTTTTAAATAAAAAATATTCTAATATTTGAGGGATGGTTTCACCCCCTTGGAAATGGAATTTCGAAAAATCCCTTCTTATCTCTACACTCTAGAATCAACCTGTATGCCAAAATTGAACTTCTTACGTTGAGTGGTTTGAGCAGGATCGAGATTAATCAGTGAGTAAGTCACTTAAGGATTTTATATATTAGTATAGATAGGGACAAGGAGAATTAACAAGTGATATAACCAATAATGCCGTTAGACGAATTACTGCTTGACTATGGAATAAGATGGATATTTCTTGTTTCCAATGATTTCAATCTAAAATAAATTGTACGCATCTTTTAATAGGGTTTTTAGTAGGTGACCTATTAGTTCGGAGTATTTAAGTTTCGACCCAAATTCTATATTCTACATCGCATGTGTAGCTATCACAGTAAATATTTCTGAAAACTCTATACATAAGTATTTTACGTTATACAATAATGAATTTTCCACACAAAAATAATTTGTGAATCTCAATCAGCTTCTAAGAATATTCCCACTGACAAAACACCTAAATTAATAAATATTGGACACTCAACTAAAATAAACTTGTAC